CAAAGCAACTAATGACGACCCAACCTAATAAAACCCTAATATCGTTTATTATATAAACGACTCTTCTTTTCAGAAGAGGGTTACGATCTTAAGCTTTCGTTTTTCATCATACTTTCACGGAATCCTCTAACATTTTGGCTTACGATTTATGTGCCTAGAATCGTAAGTGTCCACTTGGATTATCCTAGGCTGAATTTCTTGTAACCCAGGCATAGGGTAGAAATATCAGTTCGGAAAGTGATATCACGATCCAAGTCGGTATCCAGATCTCCACTACAAACCCTAATATTCCCTACAAACTATACCCTCAAGACCGTTTCCAATGTTCTACAACTTATCACTATCTTTCCATCATCTGACCATGTTTCCTTGGCATTATAGTTGTCCCAACCATCGATAAAGTCTTCATCAACAAAACCTAGTTCCTAATGCGACATCTCACTAGAGTGTTGATAAATTCTGAAATGCACCTTGCTCTATTGACGTCCACCACTAGAGGTTTGGATAATAAACAATAAGCCCCTACCATCCATGTAACTCTCATAAGAGGATCACGTCCTCTTGTTCCATGTAGATAAAAAAAACAAAAGTTGAATGACTAGATTTCGTGTATCAAAATAGACACAATCCAACCTTAAGTTACGCAAGATGTTAACTTCTCATTTCTTATTGACTTCCATGTAAAGACTCAAGATCTATCCTCTTTGCTGAATGTAGCACCGAAAACATGAACATACATTATCATCAGCTCGAGCTTATATACACAAACACAAGTCGAAAAATATGAATTATGATTAACTATCAGTGGTTTAGCTATTTTAATACTTATATGGCATTCCAAAATGGTCGCTAAATTTTAGTTGTACATCTAAGGTCCTTAAACAAAAAATATGTTAGTACTAATATTTTGTTCTAAAAAACAAATCAAAACCTAACTAAAAGGCCACTACTCGGAAAGTCACAGTTATAAGTCTTGCCAATAAATAATAACACAATGCATGTTTCTCTGAGAAGGTATTCAAATCACATGTCGTGGAAAAACAATATGGCTTTGTGACCTGCTACTTTCTACTTGAAGTCTTATTCAAACTCGATGCACCTTTTGTACTTGATTTTGCATTGTTTTATTTCTATTTTTAGTTGGACGGGAAAAATTTGGTGTAGTCTCTGCTAGTATGGCCTATTTCGTTACATCGAGAACAATGTTTGATTATTGGCCTATCCCTTTGTCCATTATTGGTGGTCTAACAATCATCAAACCTTCTGAGTTCTCCCAATTGTAAGGGGCAGGTAAAGGGTTTCACTTCCTCCTCGTATATTCACCGCTAATAATCAATGTGGTAGGCTGATAGCCATTACGAAAAATCCATCATGTTTTGAATACTTTTAACATAATAATGGGATGACCACACGAGAGGTCATGAATCTAGTCAAGTGCATGTTCTTTCCCTTAGATCAACAATGCTTTTTATTTACCATGCATGACCTCAAGATTTTCATTTGAAATCAGACACACCCTCCAACTTGTAGTATTTTTTGCTCGCTTCCCAACATTTTTATCCACCCATAGACACACCCTCCAACTAGTAGTATTTCTTGCTCGCTTCCCAACCTTTTTATCCACCCATGTCATTAGTTTGGTTGTTACCTCCGCTGCATAAAGTAACAAAATATTACTGTTAGTTTCACTTTATGTTAAATGGAAGAATTAACCATATATTGTTCGTTATTCTTAGTTATACTTGTTTTATTCTGATGCTTATAACACAAATGTTGCATGATCATTTGAAAAAACTCAAGGAGCATCACTACCTCTATCTTATGAGCATCTTTCGATAATGCGTCGATAAATTCTACACTATTTGATGTCATAAGATTCTAACGATAACCCATGAAATATTTATGTGACCATTTTTTTGGATTTAATTCTATTAAGTATTTTTGGTCGGTAGTTTGTTCCGATGTAGTGCCTCAATACAAATATTCAAAATATTCCACTCTTTAAGCTTTTGCAACCTTCCAAAATAGTGTTTTTGTCGTCACATTTTTATTGTACTTGGCTACTATGTTCGAGAAAAGATGATGAATACATACACCATGATAAGCGTCTGGTAGTATATTATGGACATGGCAATGGAGGGCACCCTATCAGAAATGAATGTTAATAGTTCCAAGCCCTCGATAAAGTCAAGTAGTTTTTATAGGAACCATGACCAAGATTTCGTGTACTCGCCCTTGGCTATTCCATATGCAACATGCAAAATTTGGCTGTTTCCGTCCATTGCTACCGCCAACAACATGGTTCCCTTGAATTCACCATTAAGGTGAGCCACGTCTAACACGAGGGTACGTTGACCGATACTTTGAAATGCCCGTATGTACAACACAGTCACATAAATTAACAAACGAATGATACAAATAAACATTGAATTTAATCAAAATAAGTTAACATACAAATGATAACTATTACCATGCAACCAATAAAGAGAAACAAAAATCAAAGCGCTCATCATCATCCATTTGAATGTATGTGATTGAACCGGGATTACAATAGTCTATATTGTAACAATATATGGCCAGTTTAGGAAATGAGTCTGCTTGAGTGCCACTTGGAAGATTAAACGTGTGTTGTTCAGCACGCCATGATCATTACCCAACACATTTGTAACAAAATGTCCCAACACTTTTTACTTGCTTGGCGATGGGTTAGGTCCAATTATGTTGAAGAAAAATTGTGTTGGTCCACAAGTTTGTGGATCTAGAATATGCTACAACCATCTAGTTTTACAACTGAAACATACCGTTGGCAATTTTTATCAACACATGTATGAAATATCTTTTTGGTAGATCTGAGAGTTTTGTACTAAAATGCACCCTCTATACTTTTTGTTCCTAGTGTTAATTGAACAACTTCGTCGTTGTAAATTTGTAGCACCTTTATTGGATCATTTGGGTTTTGGCTATGTGATGGACTAGCTGCATATTCCAGATCAGATCATATATCTGGCATGCCAAAAAATTTCCTTTGTAATGTAATTGTTGATTACAACCAACCATTCAATATCAACATCATCTTCTTCTGTGACTGATATGCTTAAAACAACTTTATCTATTGGATCATCAATTTATATAAAATCATCATTTCCGCCTTCATTATGATAGGTACCATCATTATCAACATGGATACATGTAACCTTACCAACGTCACCTAAGTTCTTATGATTTATTGGTTAGACATCATGAATTTGTCATTCTACCGACAGTTGATGTGGAACTACCGGTGTTTGATATGGTACTATCAGCTTTTGATATGGTACATAATATTCGAGACCGACGTACAAGATTTGTTGATATGCATACTAGTTTTCATAGACAACTTGTGGAATGAATTGTAGTTGTATTGTTGTTCCATATGTAACATATCGATCAACATTGTTAGGATCATTTTGATAGGTATGCTTACATGCTTTATTATTAATACCTCTTCTATTGGATATGTTCTTAATAGAGTTTTTTCCTCTTATGCTACAAGACCCTTTTCCGCTTCTAGGCTGGTTCCCACAAACAACATATCGATTTGCGATATTCTATCGAGTCTCCTTCACTAGATCATTATAAGAGTTGAAACTATATGAATATTATTTTTAAATGCTTCACATCATCCTCATCAACTATCTATATAACATACTTCACCCTCATCGACTATCTATATAACATACTTCACCCTCATCAACTATCTATATAACATACTTCAATGTAGGGTGTTGGAAAGACACGCTGATATTAGGTCTATCATCCAAATCTATCATTTGTTTGACCAATTTCTATAAATATGGGAAATTTATATCTACAAACATTTCAACACTGAAGTTTTAAAAAATTTCACATATATCAATTTCTCATTTTCTCACTGCCATGAACCACTGACACAAACAAAAATACTCATCTGGAATGTTTGAAGTTATGTTATCTTAACAAAATCAGAAATGGTAAGTTGGGAAAATTTGCTAGTGAAATTAGACAAAAAATATATAAAAAGTTAGCTACAAAAATCAAAGATAACACACTTTAAATTATACAGATTTTCACGGTACTGATTTTGATTTTCGCAATACGGTCTCTTCTTTTTGCGGTCAACATGACAAGACAATACATACTTTTTCAAAAAAATACAATATTTGGTTTTACATATTTTCCAGATGACATCATCTTTCGCAGATGACATAGATTTCACAGGATTGAAAACATTGTTTGTTTGGTCGTTGAAAAAAAAATCACAAACCATTAATATTTTCGCAGATGATGGCATGTGAAAAAATAGATATTTTGGCATTTTTCTGATTTATGGCTATTTTGTGGAAAAACCTTTGGAAAAAATGGCTATTAGTCATTTTTTAAATTAACAATTTCTTTTATTAAATTTAAAAAGAAAACGTTAGTATGGATAAATTAGTCTTTAATATTATATATATATATAATATATATATATATATATATATATATTATATATATGTTAGAAACCAAAAACAATCTTTTCATGTTAAGAACCAGAAGTCAAACAATACAAAACTGTAGATATGATTGGTGTTAAAAAAAATAGGGTCCAAAAACACAACTTATCCCAAACCGTAGGACCATTCATATAGTTTACTCTAAAATACATAAAGTAAACTTAACCATCGTTAGTCTATCTCTATCATAGACAAGTTTCACAATTATTTAATCATTATTCGTGTGGACAGAATGAGAGTAGTCATAGGAATTGCCACGACATGTATACTTGTTAAGCAACGTGATATAGATGAACGATACGTCCTTGACCAACACCCAAATTGCACTGCCGTAAACGGTAGACCATTGACTGGTGAAACAAGATCACTTTGTTCCGGACGGCGAAGAGATCCCTTTCACCAAGCCATCTGCTAATTCACATCATAAGGATTAAATAACTAATAATCTCAACTTTTCCAACTATCAGAACCGACTTCCATACTTCATCTATGATCTTGATCCAACCACCCCTTCTTCTTCTATTGCTGCTTCTGCTCGCTGGAGCCGAAGCAGCATCCACAGTTTCCACAGACAACAATGGTTTCTCCTTCCTTTTCAAAGATTCGCAGCTCGATGGTGTACGAGAGATCCAGCCAGATGGTCGAGTGGTTCACAGCAACGACACCGAGATGTTCGGCGTCGGTCACACCTTCTACTCTCGCCCTTTCCGGTTCAAAAACTCCCACACCAGCAACGCTTTGTCGTTCTCCACTTCTTTCGTCTTTGGAATCATACCAGAAAACCCTCTGTTCACGTTCCACGGAATGACCTTTGCGATTGCTCCATCAAAAGCAGTGACGGATGCATCCTCTTCACAGCATCTCGGACTCTTTAACCGTACCAATGACGGAAACGCCTCAAATCACATCGTCGCCGTCGAATTCGACACGTTTAGAAACCTCGAACTTGACGACATGGATGGCAACCATGTGGGTCTTGATATAAACAGTATAGAGTCTGTCTTCGCTGCAACAGCAGGCTATTACAAGAATGGAGGCTTTCAAACCCTAACTCTTGCGAGCTCCAGAGAAATCCAAGCGTGGGTCGATTACGATGGTGTTGAAAAGACCTTGAATGTCACATTAGCTCCTCTTCCCTTAAAAAAACCACAAAAACCTCTTGTAACCTGGAAGAAAGATCTGTCACCTTTTTTACTCGAAGAAATGTACGTTGGGTTTACTTCAGCCACTGGGGTTCTTCTTCAGACGTTTTACATTGTTGGTTGGAGTTTTCAAATGAATGGAAAAGCTCAAGAAATCGATAGATCAAAAATCCCACCTTTACCTGTCAATAAAAAATCAAACAAAAAGAAAAAAATGGGTTTAGAAATTGGGTTATCTTTAGGTGGATTACTGGTTCTTTCATCGATTTCAATTTTGGCGTTTGTTTTGTTCCAAAGAAGAAAACGTAAATTCGAATTCGAAGAAGCTCTTGAAAGTTGGGAGGTTCAATACGGACCTTGCAGGTTTTCCTACAAAGATCTTTTCACAGCCACAAAAGGGTTTAAAGAAAGTGAGCTGCTTGGAAAAGGTGGTTTTGGTCAGGTTTATAAAGGGACCTTGCTGGACTTAGGAGCTCAGGTCGCAGTGAAGAAGATATGGCATACATCAAGTCAAGGAATGAAGGAATTCGTGGCGGAGATCGCCACGATAGGTCGGTTACGACACCCAAATTTGGTCAGACTTCTTGGGTATTGTCGAAGAAAAGGCGAATTGTTTCTTGTATATGATTATATGCCGAATACTAGTTTGGATAAGTTTATATTCAATTCAAATCCCAAATCCACTTTAACATGGAAACAAAGGGTCAAAATCATTATCGATGTAGCCAAAGCGTTAGCATATCTGCATGAATGGTGTGAAGTTATAATCCATCGGGACATAAAAGCAAGCAACGTGTTACTTGACGCCGAATTGAATGGTAAGTTAGGCGATTTTGGGCTCGCAAGATTCGGCAACAACAATGGAACCGATGCAAAAACGACCCATTTGGCTGGGACTTTGGGATACATAGCACCTGAATTGGCTCGCAAAGGAAAAGCCACCACCGCGACCGATACTTTTGCTTTTGGAACGTTTTGTTTAGAGGTTGTTTGCGGTCGGCGACCTGTGGAGTTGCAAGGGTGCGAAGAGGCAGTGATTTTGGTCGATTATGTGTGGGATTGTTGGTATAAGGAGCAACTTTCTGAGGTGGTTGATCCGAAACTAAGGGACGACTACGAAACTGAGGAAATGGAGTTGGTTTTGATGGTGGGGTTGCTTTGTTCACATGTTGTGTCCGTGTTGAGACCGAGTATGTCGCAAGTTTTGAAGTTCCTTTTAGAGAAGGAGCCATTGCCAGCAGATTTCAATGGTGTATTGAAGATAAGAGACGACTATGCCTCTTCGAGTTCTTACTTGTCGCAAATTCACTACTCGACGACATTGGAACCGATCACCAACTCATTCATGTTTTCAGGGCGGTGATGGGAACAAGTATGTCAAATGTAATTTTTTATTTATAGAAGAGAAATCTTCAACACCCCCAAAATTAGTATAAAGTGCACCCGGAAATTTTCTTGTTTAAAATACTTTTGATTCTTACACATCATATCATGTACATTATATGCTAACCAAGATGGAAGCAAATAACAACATAGTTTACAAACCAAAATTTAACCCAACT